CTCCAGAGAGTAGGTGGAAGTTACCTATGGAGATGAAAGTGCTCCTCCGGTTATGCTGCTTCCAAAACCATTACAGCATATTTAACTGACTGTTTTCTAGTTTTTATGAAAATGGGGAACGAGGAATATATTTTTGTGATTTTTTTTTTGCCAAAACTCATTTGAAAAAAGTATTTTCATTGTTTTGATATTACCCCTCTCAGTGCCCCTTCATTTTTCTGCACCTTTTTGGCTGTAGGAACCCTATAAAATGTTTCTGTGGCATCACAAAGTTACTTTTTTGTGCAGTTTCTCCTGTGCAATGTTGTCAGTAGAAGATTGCAGCTGATTAAACACTTTATTTTCAATTTCAGCTTGCTCATAGCTCACATGAAATGAGACAAAGTAACATGTATGCTAACATTGAAACAAGGAAGTATTTCCCCAGTGGTAATCTGGTGGTGGTGGTGTTGTCATTCTCATTGCACAGGCAAAATCTATTTAACAGAATTTGACCCTACAGTTCATACTAAAGATACTTGAGCAAACAAATCATCTGAGTTGTATCATCTGCATATTGGAGGTTGATGATATTTCTTCCGGCAATCTTAATTCTAGTTTGGGATTCCTCCAGTCCAGTCTTTCTCATGATGTATTCTGCATATAAGTTAAATAAGCCGTGGGACAATATACAACCTTGTCATACTCCTTTCCCAATTTTGAACCAATCAGTTGTTCCATATCAAGTTTTAACTGTTGCTTCCTGTCCCACGTATAGGTTTCTCAGGAGATAGATAAGATGGTCAGGCACTCCCATTTGCCTCCCCAAGCCCCGAAATGAAGATGCAAGACAACTATTCTTGGAATTTAAACATGGACCACACTTTATTAAATACCAATTCAAATTCAACCAGATAAACTATTTCCAAAATTGAGGGGGCCTGCGGTAGTGCGGGGAAATAACTCCAAATAATTCCTTATCAGTCAATGGGCGAGTCCCAGGCCCCAGGTTCCAGCTGTCTAACGACCGGAGAAACCTGTCAGGCCTCAATTAAACACCCCGGACCTCAGGCCATCGTATTTGATGACCTTTGGTCCGAAAGTGGTCCAGCGCATCAGCCTCCTTCGGCCCTGTAATCGCACGATCCGCAGAACCATCAGAACTGACACGCTGTTTGTTTTATGATAATTACAAAAGGGACACACCGTGACAACCAGTTATTCCCGCACTACCCGCCCGTGTGACCGATTATACAAAACCACCATCAAATGGCAACAAACCCTTTTCCAGTGTGGGATAGGCAAAAAATCCCCCCATCCAAAAGCCAATCAGGATGGAGGTCAAAAATTTCTATCCGGCCCCAAAACTGGTAACCCCAAAAACACACTAGAAAGAGGGTGGGTGCCAAAAGTGAAAGAGCAAGTGCAAATGGGCCGGTGCTTCCTTAAATCAGCACCGGCCCCTCCCCCAGCCTCACGTGGCCCGTTGTTTGCTTCTTCCAGACCCGGGGAAGCAAAAACTCTGCATAGCAAATGGCGCGCAGGCATTTCTCAGCAGCCTTTGGTGAGGGACAAAAATCAAACACCTTTAGAAAACCCAGATAGAGAGTATCCACTGGTTCACCCATATTCACGTGGCTGTTAACCTTTTCAAAGAATTCTAAATAGTTTGTGAGGCAAGACTTACCCTCAGCAAGGCTTGTTCTTCTATGTGTTTTAAGATTTTATCTTGGATGAGGCTTTCCATCATCTTCCCTGGAACAGATGTTAGACTAACTGGCCTGTAGTTTCCCCCCTCCTTTCCTTTTTAAAGTTTGCTCTTGTTGTGTTTTTTGTGTGTGTGTGTGTGTGCTGTCGTCCAGTCCTCTGGCACTGTGGCTGTTTTAAGAAACATGTTGTATATTTTAGTTAAAAGATCAGCAATTTCATTCATCAGTTCCTTAATAACCCTTGGGTGGATCCCATCTGGGCCCGGTGACTTACTGGTCTTTGATTTCATTGTTTTCTTTTTCCATTTAAATATTGATTTATACTTTGTTAACCACTTTAATTATTTGCTAGAAATACAGAAGTATGATAAAGGCACTTGGAAGTAATAATTGTCTATCTCTCTGTCTCTCTATTTCCACATTACTTTTCATTTTACAGCTATCAGATAATAGCTTACATGTATTTGTCTACGAGTGTTTTCTTAGGTATGCAAAGACCAGAATGTTTTTAAGGATTTTCAAGTACAACCATATATTGTACCCATTTATTTAAGATAAATTGGTTGGGTCCCACTGAACCCACACTTACTTCTGCTGTGTATAGAATTGCACTAACCCTATGAATAAGCAGGAAGCTAAATTTTGCAGTGGCTGTAGCTTCTGGACTGATTTCGATGCTTAGAAATTGTTTTCAGATGTATAGATTAACAAAAACAATAATAATAATGTGATGGGGATGGTAGCAATGAAGATGATGATGTCAGAGTCTTCTCAAAAAGCAACCACCTAACTTTTTTACTCAGCAACAACAATCTGCCCATAAAAGATCTGGCCTGAAATGCAGAGGACTCTTGGGGGCAATATGTTACCCCCCGGAAGGCTCAAAATTCTAACGTGCTTTGTTTTAGAAACTAAGTACTAATATATGCAAAACATATATATTTTATAATATATGAGTACCCCTCAGATATTCTAAAGTGTCTAAAACTCCAGAACCCACTCCAACACTGGGTTTGGCACACTTATGGGTTTTATTGAACCCAATGGGACCTCTGTGGTTTTTGTGTTTTGTTTGCTTGCTTGCTTACTATGCTGAAGACAGATCACCAGTCAGACATAAGAACCTGCAAAAGGCTTTAGCCTTTCACCCCCTAATTCTGTAAAGTCAGATGAGGAGCAAAACCAGGAGGCATACTGAATCCTGGAGGGACTAAATGATGTAGAATTCCATTGAGCTTGATGTTGAATTCCACTGGCCCTGACATAATAGCTTCATTTTATTTTATAAACAGCTGCCTGGTAGGCTCTCTCAAATTTCAGGTCAGGCCTAGATCATTTCGTGTAGCGAGGTCCTTCCACTGTTTGGGAAGAGGCATAAGACAGAATTTAAATGTAAAGGATAGTAAAAATTTCAAATTCAACTCAGATTGAAAAAACACAAAGGGCTAATGTGGAGGATCATGCATCCTTGAGGTGAGACACTTTGTGAGGTGAGACCCAAGCCAAATGACCCAACTGGCCCACCCTCTCGTATGGCCTGCTGCCTGGTACCAGATCAGACCAGTCATGAAGGTCAACATGTATGCTCTTGCTCATGCTTACTCATTGCAGTCTTATGCAGCTGGAGACATCCCATCATCTTTTAGCTTGTGAAGGCAGGAAATTCTTCTGGGGTCTTCAAAATGCAAGCTTCATCATCTACAATTGAGACAAACCCCAGCATCATAAAAAGGGACTGAGAAGCACTAATTTTCAACTGTACTATATATGTAGTCGTATGGATAAATATACTACAGATATATGTTTCAACATAACTTTTTATTTTCTTGCATTGTATTGTTATTTTACAAATGGAGGCCAAAAGCCTATTAAGATTCTTCTGAGTGGAAAGTCCTGTTAGTGTAATAACATAGGATTTTTGCCACTTATACAGGTGTTGCCATTGTGCAAGCAGTGAGCTACATAAAGAAAATCTGCTCTTCACTTGCCAGTTGCACTACTTTTTCAAATGGTATGATCCTGCATTACGATGCTTATGGGACTTTTGGTTCAGTGGCAGCTCAATAGGATACTGGCCAAACAGTTCAGTTCTGGACTTCAAAAGCAAAAGCTACTGCCCAAGGCACTTAAAGCACTCTCTGATCAGTTTACAGTTTAATTATGTAGGCTACACATTGCCTCCCCTGCCCCCACTGAGTTGGGTACTCAATTTACTGACCTCAGAAGGATGGAAAGCTGAGTCAACCTTGAGTTGACTACCTGATCCCAAAAGTATTGAACTCAGTTCATGAGCAGAGTCTTCATTGCAGTACAGCAGTTTAGCCACTGTGCCACGATGCTCTACTAAACAACTTGCATTCTGCCTAAACAATGACAGTCCATTATGCATTGGCATATGAAGGTCTGGATAAGCCTGGCCTAAACCCAGCTGGTTGTTCCACCTAGAGTAGATTCCTTGAAACAATTGCAGAATTGGACATTAGTAGTCATGTAGATCTGATTGGTTCAGTGTATCTGTTCTAGCTGGGCTTACCATGAGGAATGTCAAAACTAGGGATAGGTCTCTGAAGGGCACAACAGGCCATAATGGATTGCTACTGTATTAAGTTCAGCTAGATAGGTTGTGCAGTTATATTGGCTGCCTTAATTTATACTGCCATTACAAGGGTATATAAAAAGTCTATGGATCTTATTTTTTATTTTATTTTATATATGACAATATATACGAACAAATATATATTAGGCTTCTCCACATTGCCAATGTATTTAATTCAGGCACTTGTCCCAACACTGTAGCAGTTGGATGAATAGGCACAAAGGCTTTTCAGCATACTTTTAGCTTTTTCTTTCCCCAAGGGAATGTTGTGTAGTGCTCTTGTCTTTGTGCTGATGTATGGATTCTTTTGTAACAAATGCTCTGAGGTGGAATGCACTTCAGTTTATTCCCTTTGCCATATGATAATTGGACTACATTGACGGGGAAAAGAAAGAGTCATACAAGAAAGCACCTCTATGGGACTGAAATACTTTTGTATGTGTTGTTATTTGCAGTGCATGCCAAGACAATCATGGGCCCAAGAGCCAAGCTGGCGAGCTAATTAAATATATAAATGTATATGTTTAAACAGCCTTATAAAGGAGCATTGGAAATCTGCAAGATGAGCGAATATCTTATAACTTCTTCCGCAGGTGCGAGGATAGCTACAAGCCATGGACTTTCTGTCCTGCTTCTTGTTTGTGGCTTTGTGAAGGGTGCTTTGCTTTAATCTAAAAAGTGCTGACTTTTTCCAATATCACTTTCTCTTCTTAAAGCAAAGAGCAAATCGCCTGTAAAACCTACGGAGCGGACAGCAAAGTTGACCCTAACTTCCAACCATCACCCTGCACCCAATGTACTCTAACTCTCTACACAAAGGAGCACCTTCTTCAGGACATAACACACACCAAAAAACAAAACAAAAAAATTAAACAAATTCTTAAACAAAATCTCAAAAAGGAGAGAAGAAGCTAGCACACAGTTTCTTTATTTCTTACTTTCTTGGAATGTATTGCTACTCTTCTCTTCGAAGAGACCGGGAATGGTGTAACAGAACATTCTTCAGCGTGTCAACAACATTTTCTTTTCTTTTTTCTTTTTTGATTCAATGAAGGGACATGTTGAATTCCCTTGACAATTCAGAGGTTGGCTGTACATTTTTAATACTACTAGACTGGACATCAGTTCTCCTTATACACAGAAAAAGCACTGCTTTAAGCAGATGTGAAGAAACAATCTCAAACATCTCCCTTTCCTAATCCCAACTCAAAACTTGCTCAACATACAGGATGTACACAACAGCATCACTGCAAGAATGGATGGAAATGGAGTTATGTTTAGAAAGTGTTTCATTTCTAGGTGGAACATCTCACAGAACTTCAAAGCCGCTCATTGTACAAGAAGACAACACTTCCGGAAGATGTGCAAGAAAGGATCGAAGCCTCTCATGGGTATTCTTCTCATTTGATTCCCCTCCTCCCATGATTGTTTCTTGATTTCTTTCCTGGTTGATGGTGGCAGTTGCTGGCCCTGGCCAACAGCTGTGGAGCACTTAAAGGTTTCTATAAATACATATTTTATTTGTGTGTGTTCTCTATTTTGCTGTGTTTTCTCTGATTTTGCAACTCCTGTATATGCAAACCTAACTTAACTCCTGTAAATTGCTTACATGTGTGCTATAACTTCAGAAACGGCATTCTGTGGTCCATCCTGCAAGCCAGTTTTGAATATTATCTCAGTGTGGTGCCACCAACTTGCATCTATTTCCTTTTCAGCAACACATTCATTTTAATTTGTAATTCAGTACTGTGTGGGGTTTTGTAATTCATGCATTCACTTTTTGCTGGTCTGAGCCCTTGCAGATGGCAATGCAACCCTCTGTTTACTCTGTAAAAATGCACATTAAAATTTGTTATGGTCCCTGAGCCGTGAATTATTTGAGTTGTGTATACATATCAAGCTGGAATTGTTTGCTGGACACCCTTTTAATTTATAGTATTTATTGGTGATGGAGGCCTTTTGATTTTATAACTAGAGGAATGTAGCTCTGCAAACATCTCATTGTATGCAAAGAAAAGGCAAAGCAATTTTTTCTTCTTTACTGTTGAACTTCTCAGTTAAGCAAAGAGAATTTGCTATGTTGGCTAAATTAACTAAGACAATATGGAGGTTCCTTCCTTCCCAATCTCTTTCTGAAGCTTTGAATAGAATGCTCATATTCTAATTTTCTTATCTTCATGGTATAAAATGTACCATTGTATGGCTTCCTGGAGAGAGGGAAGTTTGCCTATGAGAATCGGTAGGCTTTTAAAAATAGTTCAGGCCTCTGTACTACCTGGATAAATGAATAGCGTGCTTAGTGATGTGTTGAGTACTTCACTTCTTTGAATCCAGACCTGGAACTGTACCAGCCAGCAAAAAGCTCACATTCCTACGGTGATCAAACTTCTAATATTGTTCCCCTGTGCAGCAAAATTTCTGCTTGGAAAGGATTGGAATTCCTAAAAAAAAAAAGAGTGCTCAAAATGGGAATGAGAAATGTCCACACCTTTTCATCCCTCCATTCCCTAGCTTAATTTCCTAAAACCTCCCACTACTATTCTATGTGGTTCTAAAAACCTTAGTTCTGGAGCTGGCGGCCATGTTTTATTGTTATACAGTAGAGGGATTTCTAGAAAACAAGGAAAGCAATACATATCCTGTTTTGTTTCCTTTTCCTGAATATCCACATTCACCTTGTGGAGGGTAAGATTTAACCTAATAACACACATCTGAGAGACGAATTAGACACTACAGATAATACACCATTAGAATGTAATTCAGGTCCATGGAACTGTACCTGAGAAATTGGACTTACAAGTACAGTGGGGTCTTGACTTGAGAGCTTAATCCGTATTGGAAGGCGGTTCTCAAGTCAAAAAGTCTGTAAGTCAAGTCTCCATTGACCTACAGTGCATTGGAAACCGATTAATCCCGTAACACGCCGTTTTTGTTCCATTTTGGGGTTTTTTTTGGTCTGTAAGTCAAATCTCAGTCTGCAAGTCAAACCTAAATTTTGCGGCCAGAGAAGTCTGTAACTTCAAAAATCTGTAAGTCAAGCCATCTGTAAGTCAAGGGTACACACACACACACACCATGTGCCATTCCCAGTCATCAAACAAGGCACCCAATTGGCAAGTTATGGAGGTGAGAAAGCCTGTATTATGACACAGATTCACCTCTTAAATATTCCAAGAATTATACTTCTTGAGATGCCTCCATTTCATTCCCAAATTGACAGTCATGAAACTACCCCAAGTTTGGCAATAGAAACAAAAAACAAAATATCTCAATTGATAACATTTAAGAATAAAAAATGTCTGTACGGAAACAATACATTCTTGTGTTAAAAATAGGAATAAAATGTGTATGCTCTTGGTGTAAGAAGGCATTAGCAGCAGTATCCCCATCATGATGCAACATTAGACATTATTTCTGTCTGGATTGCCCTAATCACTAGAGTTGACACTAATTCTCACCAAACTGAAATTCTGAGGCAAAATTCACTTATGGAGTGAAGCCTTTAAAGAATGTCAAGAAAAGGATCCAATGGAGTCTGGTGGCATGTCCTGGTGGGGAAGAAAACTGGCTTTCACCAGATGCTGATTTCCTGGAGTGGCTGATCTCTCTGGAACTCTCCTCTTCAATTGCAGGTAAGTAGTTGTGGGTAGAGTATGGGTCTACATGCTTGGCGCTACATCAGCCATCTATTCAAGACCTGATAGCATCATGTTTGTGTGCTGGCAAATATTAAAATGGTGACTTTATGTTGTATATCACTGCAAGAGTATGTGTTTGTTCACACACACACACACACACACACACACACACACACACACACACACAGAGAGAGAGAGAGAGAGAGAGAGAGAGAGACATATATTCTACACAGGATGGCCTGCACATATGTTTCTGACCCAAAACAGAAGTCACAAGTTATTAAAAACAAATTGACTAAAACTAGTATAACTTATAACACTAAAAATCAATTACACGTTGAATTTTATTAAAACAATTACTTAAAGATATTAAAAATCCTTTTAAAATCCCTTAAAAGCACAGATAAAATAATAATAGTGTCCAGAGATCACAGATCACAGAGTTAGTTGTTCAAAGCCTGTCTAAACAAGATTGTCTTCACCTGTTGCTTAAAGGACAAGAGGGAGGGGGCCAACCTTGCTCTTAGGGGGAGGACATTCCACCACCTGGGAGCAGACAATTTCCACCAGGCATGCCTGTGAAGGTAGAAGAACTGAGGAAAGAGCCTCCCCTGAATATATTAACAGCTAGGAAGGTTCATACACAAAATATGTTCCTTCACATATCTTGGATCCAAACCATATACATAGGATTTTATAGGTAATATCCAGTATTTTTAACTGGGTCTGGAAACAAACCGGCAAACAGTGAAGCTGACGTAACAAGAAAATTATATGTTCCCTGTAGCTGTTTCCAGTCTGCAACCTGGCTGCAGCATTTTGAAACAGAGGAAGTTTTCAAACTGTCTTCAAAGGCAGCTCCATATACAGCCCATTGCAGTAATTCAAACAGGATGTAACTAAGACATGTGTCACCATAGCCAAATCAGGTATCTCCAGAAATGAGCACATCTGGCACACTGACCACCACTGACACCTGAGCATCCAGACTCAGGGATGAGTCCAGAACTATACCCAAGCTGTGAGGTTGAGTTGTCATGGGGAGTATGACCCCATTCAGTACAGGTTGAATCTCTTTCCCCTGATCTGTCGTTAAATCGACAGGGAGCATCTCTGACTTGTCTGGATTAGGTTTCAATCTATTCACCCTCATTGAATCTATTACTGATGACAGACACTAGTTTAGAGCAGGAACAGCTTCTTTGGAGTTAGGTGGAAAGGAGAGATGGAGTTGGTTGTCATCCACATATGTAGTCAGCGTACTAGTGACACTAAGCTACAAAACTCTGGACAACCTCTCCCAGTTGTATGCATTAAAAAGCATAGGGGATAAGACAGAACCTGTGGAACAGCACCAGCCAGTGGCCAGGGCACTGAACTGTAGTCCCCGAGCACCACCTTTTGAGATCTCCCATTCATGAAGGACCAGGGTCATTGTCAAACAATGGCTGCTAGTCCCACTCCAGAGAGATGGCCCAGAAGGATACCATGGTTGATGGTACAAAGAGTTTCTGAGAGGTGGAATGAGCAGGGACATGCTCTTCCTGTCTACTTCCTGGTGTAGGTCATCCACTAAGGCAACCAAAGCTGTATCTGTCCCATATCTAGCCCTAAAGCTAGACGGAAGTGGATCTAGATAATCAGTTTCATGCGTAAACCCTTGGAGTTGAGCAGCCACCCATCACCTGCTCTTTGTCCCAAAATGAAATATTGGAGAAAAGCTGATTGCTCTGACTGTTGTTCATACTGCTGGGTTTTCCAGGTAGTTTAAGGTCTGCGTTAAAAATGCCATTGGGTGAGTGCAATAATTAATGTGCACACACACACACACCCATTATATTAGCCAAGATGTAGTATAATGTAGTGGATAAGGAGGCCCGGATACAAATCTCTGCCATGGAAACTGATAGGGGAAGCGATGGTAACACACTCCTTCAATGTTTCACATGCCCCAAGAACCATTTTAGGGCTGCCATACTTCAGAAACAACATGATAGCCCATAAGAAATAATAACCACATGGAATTTTGACCTGGCTCAGGAATAAAGGGGTTGGGGTTGGGGTACAAAGGTTTAATTCCTCGCTTTGCTATGGTCCCAACAGAGATTATCTTTTTGAAGATGGTCTTTACATTTCAGAGGAAGCCCTCATTTGTTCCAGTGTGGGTTACCTTGAAATGCAAATAGTAGCTTCAGGGAGGTGATTTTCATCTGGGCAGTGGCAGGGGAAAAAAGTTAAACACAGTTGTCATTTACATAGAAAGAAAGTCTACATGGCCTGCCAAGTTCTACGGGGTGGTGGTGGTGGTGGTGGTGATGAGAACCAAAGGGATTTACAAGTGTCCAGAAAGTGCATGGCCTTCCACTCCTAGTTTGTGTGTGGTTTTGTAGTTCGGAGAGGCTGAGGAACTAGTTTTGTCTTGAGAGCCAAATTGGTCATGGACTGGGAAATCAGTTAAGTCAGCAGGTCCCAGGATGCCAGTTTTAGGGAGCTGCTATGCTCCTCTGGGCCTCCATATTGGAAGATAAATCTCAAGGGAAGCAGTACCGGAAGAGCAAAAATTTGGATCTTACTGCGTGTAATGGCTTTGATGTCTGGATGCCTATCTCCTCCCCACACCCAGGCCTCATTGCCTCAGCAGGAAAGTGTTTGTATGTGCACTGCATACATATTATTTATTAGGTGGTAGCAAAGGAAGTCCATTTTGTCTATTTTGTATAAATGTTATGAGAATAATGTATACATTATTTGT